AAGCATATGTGAGTCATGTAACAGTTATGTAAGTTTTTATACTTTTTTTTACTGCTTTATGCCAGTGTATAAAATTTTTCATGTTTATATTTTTTTTATGTTTTTTTTCCCAGGATGTTCAACAGAAATGTTGGAATGTATGCTACTGAATTTTGTGCGGTGCAGTGAGCTTTTTGACTTTTCGGAAATTTCAATATTATTTAAAGTAATTTAAAGTTATCTTTTTTGTAAAACAATACAATTTTAAAAATGCCTCCGATTTTAAAGAATTAAAATGAAATTCTTAAAATTTCAATTTTAAATGGTTAACGGTATCATGCAGTACAATATGGTATCATGCAGTAATGTATTATGGCATACAACAAACTATATAAATCGTCACACAATACTTTTTTTATAAAATAGTTTTATACTATCTCGATCAAAATAAAACATTTCAAGCGAACAATTAATTTTTTTAAGTTTTAAAAACTTATTAAAGCCATTAGTTTATTAACATGTTAAAACCATTAAATTAATTGCGGAAGTACAATAAATTTTATTTTTTAAAAAAAGACATCAAAAATAGTAGCTTTAATAGTTAGTTATTTATATTCTATATAAATGAAGCTTGTTATTTTATATAAAAAATTTTTTTATTTGTATTATACTTATTTCTTTATTTTTTAGGATTAAGCGCAATTTAGTGTATATACACCGACTGAGGGTTTTTCGTTTTATCAGTCACTCTTTAATTTAAAAAGGTTTTTTTTTCTAGTTTTAATTTTATTTCTGAGCTTTCAAAATATATAAAAATATCATGGAACTGCACATATCTTGTTTAACTCAAAAAAATTCTGGGAATTATTATTTTTTAACTTTAATTTAAAGGAAATTTTTGCAGCAAAGTATCTACGCTCACTGTCGGTGCATTATTCTTTGACTCCACCAAAGCCTTCGATAGGATACCGCATTATCAGTGAGCACGGTACGTTTTTTGGAGGTTTTTAATAGGTTTAAACCTAATAAAAACGTCAAAAGAACGTTTAAAACTACTCTATAAATTGTAGATTTATGATACAGACGGTAGTCTTTTAAACTGTATCAAAGCCTTTTATCCCACTAGAACCCAGCGCGTCGTATTTGGTTACACGTCGTTCAAGTGGGAATAAGTAACAAGTGGAGTTCCACAAGGCTTTGTGTTTGGCCCGACACTCTTTTTTATTTTTTATCAATGACCTTCCCTAAAAGCAAAATGTACGCTGACGATACCAAAGTTCTTAGCACTGTTAGAACCTTCAAAAATAAAACACGAGCACAAGTGGTTGAAGATATCATTTTCGAGTAGACTCAAACTTGGTTAATAAAACTAAAAATTAAAAAAAGCAAAGTCATGCACTTATACAAAACATCCATTCGAGAACACTTACTTTATGACCGAATGCTTAGGATCTTAAATCTAAATCTCAAGAAAGATATCAGTGTATTAGAACGAGTTCAGCATCATGCAAAGAAAATCTCATACGAGTTAAAACCTATAACTACGAAATGAGATGCATAAAACTAGGTCTTACCAACTTAAAAGAAAGACTGAACCGTGGTGACATGATCCAAAAATACAATTTAGACAACAATAATGATGTCAACTCCGTTTAGTCCTGATGTTGCGTTCAACGGGACATGTTCATTCCGTGTGAACCAAAACAAACAAAAAAAAAATTCAATTCAAGTGATCTAAATAAACAACTTCACTTGTTAATTTTTTTTTTATTGTCGTTGTATTTTAGAAATATTGTTAAAACAATTTAATCAAAAATTTACTGATTAAGTGAATAGCTACAGTAGGGTAGGGTAATATGAGCAACTTAAGCGAAAATTGAAATATTTTCAAAACTAATTAAGATAGATCCAAATTTTTTGTGAAAAAACAATTTTTAGGGATCCCTACTTGTGATCCATTGAAATATTTGGGCACCCGAAATTTTTTTTAAAAAACAGAGAGGTTTTAAAAAAGTAGCAAAAGTGCTCGAATAACCCAGACGACTTGGTAATATGAGCACTTTAAGCTAGCTCAAAAAAATAACATTAATCAAGTAAAAAAATACTAACCTGACAATTAGAACTAATTTTTGAAATATAATGATTCGTTATTAACAAAAACTATCATTAAAAGATCAAATTTGAAGCCACTTTTTGTTGAAACAATACTGCTTTGTTTTTTCGTTTATTCCGCAACAACAAAAAAATTAGTTCGTTATTTTGTCAATTTTATTAATTCAAACCTTTTAACGAAAAAAAATTTTTGAATTTAAATTCAGAAAAATATTTAGTATTGTTAAAATATTAAAATATTTTAGTATGTTTTGTTTTTATTTTAAAATACAATTAAAACCACTGACTTTAAACTAGGTAATTTCAATGAAAAATTCTAGGTAATTTGAACATGCTCATTTTTGCACATTTTTAAATAAAGTCAAAACTAAATGTTTCTAGGAATTGTTTTTCAAACAAAACTGAATTGGATTTTTAGCTAACATATTTTTCTTTATGAAAAAATTAATTTCATTATTTTAGCACCAAAATTTCGCCCCACAGTTTTATTCATGCGCCATTATATTATTTTAACAACGCAAAAAATTTAACAGCGTTTTAATTAGATGATAGCCGCTAATTACTGCATATAAATTTACGAGAATTGTTCTGATTCCTGTTATCACAACATAAAGTTGATTCGAAAAATACAAAACAACTTTAACTTCATTTCTTACATCTATGAAATCTTTAAGTATGCTCATATTACCAAGGTGCTCATATTACCCTAATCTACCCTATAACTACAGTTAACAAAATAGTAGATAGATGGCTAAATCTTGTAACATATACACTCAATATATAGTGTTACGATTTCTTATTTTTATGACTATTATACAGTGCGGTTCAACAACTGAAAACTAAGATAAAAATAAAATGTGTTCGATAGTTTTATTTATTTTTACAAAGCTGCTTAATTTACCTCTACTAGATCAGTTGACACATTAGTTTTTAAAGAAAATAGAATTGATGTAAAGAGCAACAAAAAAAATAAAAAAATAAAATAAAAATTACACTTTAGATATTGAGAAGAAAATTAAATTTAATATTTCATTTATAAAATTTTGGGGCTTTTTTGTTCAAAGACTCAAACAGCCACAATTTTTTGCAAAGCATCTTTATTTGACATAAGTATAAACATATAAATGTTTGGAGTTAGCTTAAAAATGCTGGGTCGGCCCCTGGTCCCGATGTGCCCCACAAAAGTCATTTTACTAAAAATAATTTTACAACAATGAAGCACAATAATTTACATGTTTTATCAAAAAAAAGATTTGAAAAAAAATATAGATATAAGGCTTCACTCATAACTGTTCTGTCATGCCCCACTGTCCCAACATCCATTACTTCAGATTTGCAAACCACTTTGAAAATGTACGGTACAATCCAACAATAGCACATTGTAATGAATATCGAAGAACTCCATCCTGTACAAAACATGATGACGTAACAATTACTGAAGAAAATATAATATATATAATATAATATAATATAATAATGCTGTACACTTAAAGAGTGATGAGTCCAAACTACGTAGAGTTTGTAACTTTAACAGCAGTAACACACTAAAAATCAATGTCAACATCAGTTAATGTACCCCTTTATAAATCGTACAAAAAATCTTTAGATCGCTCGAGGTTGCAAATCAAGTTCTTGTTGTCTAAAGCAAGGAATTCAGTTCTTTCACTATACCTCTATAACGTCTACACTGAAAGCCTCCTCTAAAACAATTAAAAATCAAAACATTGTCGGCACATCTATATACTTTACTGGTGTGGTTGCATATACGGATGATATTATACCATTAAACACTACCCTTTCTGGTCTCATAAAGCTTATGAAAACGTACAGTGTTTACAGTGGTTTAAGTTGTATTAAATTGAATGCCAAAAATACTGAATTCTTGATTTCAGCTGAAATTACTTTTAAATTTTTCAAAACATCAATGCATCAAATAAAATAAACTAAACTTTCTCATTCGTCTTCTTACGAATAAATTAAATGCAGGTATTATTTTTTTATAAATAAATAACCCTTTATTTCAACACTCTTTTTTACCAATATTTCAGAGCTATGCTGCGATTTGACATTAATTTAATGCAAAACAAAAAGAATATGAAAATAGCACTTTTTAAGAGTAAAATTACCCCAGACTATCAAAATACTTTAAAATTTGCAATAGAATGCAAAAGAACAAAGAGACATTTTTAAACAAGCTTTTAAAAAATAATTATTAAGTGAAAATCACAGGACAGATCTTTCTTTTTTTTTTATCTTGTAAATATTTAAATTACATTGGGTTTTAAAATAAAGTATATATATATATGTATATATATACATATATATATATATATATATATATATATATATATATATATATATATATAATATATATATATATATATATATATATACGTATATATATATACATACATATATATATATATATATATATATATATATATATATATATATATATATATATATATATATATATATATATATATATATATATATATATATATATATATATATATATATATATATATATATATATATATATATATATATATACAATTTGTGTCAAATTGTTAACATGTATTTCTGCTAATTTTTCTTTAATAAAGATATAACTTTGTGTTAAAGTTATTTGGTTACTGGTCTGATATTCACCTTTTCATGAATTTTTAAATACCTATTTTATTTTTTGTAGATAAAGAGACAAAATATGTTAACCACATATTTCTCGAAAAAAATAAGAGAGGAAACATCAGTAAGTAATGATAGCAGGTCGACTATAACAGAGGTAGAAGCAGTTTCAAGAACTTTACAGGAAGAAATACTAGAGATTCCTAGTTCCCAAAATGAGGACAATAATAATTTACCAAGCTGTTGGAATGCAAAACAGTTGAAGGAGTTTAAAATTAAATATGATGGGCTATTTGTCCCGTAATCAGAAATTGGGATGTGAGTATTGTTTAAAAATGGAATCAAAACTAATATCTCAGGAATGGAAAAAATGTAACGTTACGACATCGGGGAAAGACAAAATAGTGCATCAAGCATCTTTAAGAAAAAAAATGAGTGAACATTTTGTATCAAAATCACACAAACTAGCTGTTGAACATACCAAGATACTTAAAAAACAAACTTTTACAGCATGTATTGATAAGATGAACGAAAAATTTATTAGTTCTACTACAAGAATCTTCAACACTGTTTACAGTCTAGCGAAAAGAAATTGTCCGTTTTCAGACATAGAAAGTGTAATAGAGCTTCAAGTAAAAAACGGGTTGGACATGGGAACTGGACTTTATTCTCGACATAGTGCAAGTAAGATAGTAGAGCATATCACGCAAGAAACTAAAGAAGAATTGTTTATATCAATTATTAAGAATAATTTAAAAATGTGTACTGTTATTAATGAAACTTCCACCATTTCTAGTAAATCAACGCTTATAGTTTTCATCAAAGTAGAATCTTCTACAGTAGCATCTTCTGAAATATCCCCAATAATATTCGTAGATATTGTGGAACTTGACGCACAAGATGCGAATACTATTTTTCAAAGTTTGTTGGGTGTATTACTTGCTGTTGGATTTGATACAAATTATTTAAAACTGAATTTAATAGGATTCTGTTCTGACGGTGCTAGCGTAATGCTTGGTTGTAAATCTGGAGTCAGCGTACGAATAAAAGAGATGTTTCCAAATGTTATTATTTGGCACTGTCTCAATCACCGCCTACAACTTGTTTTAGATGATTCCATAAAAGATATCAAACAGGTTAATCATTTTAAAGTTTTCATAGACAAAATATATTGTATTTTTCATCAATCTAATAAAAACCAAAAAGAACTGAATGATATTTCCCAGGAGCTTAGTTTGGGTATAATTAAGATTGGAAGAGTTTTAGGACCAAGATGGGCTGCGTGCATCCTAAGATCTGCGTTTGCTGTATGGCGGAGCTACCCTGCTTTGTATACGTTGTTCTCTTCTAACCAAAAAATGTCTGGAATGGCAAAATGACTAAAAAACAAATATTTTCTAGTAGATTTAGCTCTAATGATTGACATCCTACAGGAGTGCTCTCTACTATCTTATACCCTTCAAGCTAGAAATATAAATGTTGCCAGGGGAGATCAACTGATTAGAAGAACAATTAACGCTTTTCAAATGCTCAAAGATTGTCGCGGTCATTACGAAAAAAAAGTGGATAAAGTTATAAACTCTGAAGCATTCAAAAACATTATCTTCGTCGAAAACAGAATTTGTGGAAATCTTCCCAGAGATTCCCTTATTGATAGCATCATAAAAAATATGAAATTAAGATTGATGGATTTTTCTCATCTCGGATCAAATAGTAACAAAAAAATATTGATAATAGCATTATTTATGAACTAGCCAATTTGCTAGAGCCGAGCACATGGAAAATTGAAGGTATTGTAGTTCCGTGGATAGAGGCCGAAAATAATTTTGATAAATTTCGAAAATTTTTTAATTTTATATCGATAAGAATAATTTCCGTGATTATGTAGAAAATGTAATAAACAATGGCCATCAACAAATTAGTAAAATTGCAGAAAACATTCAAAAAGCGAAAAATATGGTTAATACGGTTGCCGTTAGCAGTGCTGAAGCAGAACGAGGATTCTCATTGATGAACATCATAATTACTGATATAAGAGCCAGATTAATAGTCCAGACAGTATCAAATTTGATGACATTAAACTTAGTTGGTCGTCCATTGGAAAATTGGAACGCAGTTCCCTATGTAAAAACTTGGTTGAGGAACCATAACTCGGCAGATGATATAAGGGTTAAAAAATCTAAACCGAAAGAATATACTGAAAGTCAATTAGCTATTTGGAAATATTTTAAATAATATAATTACTTTATAACAATAATATTTACTAATATATGAAATTTCACAATTTTTTGTTATGTTCAGTTTCTTTTTATGTAAATTTTGTATCTCTTGAAATAAATGAATAAAATAAAACTGATTTTCACATCGTTGAATTATTTTTTTGTTCTCTTTTATCCTATTACATTATTGTTGCAAAGAATATGAACGATAGTTAAATATTCTTGACTTAGTCTGCCACTCTGACAACCATAATATTTTGATGGAAATATTAATATTAAAAAAATAAAAAAATTTGTAAGAAAATATCACTGCGAACCGGTTGATAAATTTTGGAAAAGTATCCCTGTATATATATATATATATATATATATATATATATATATATATATATATATATATATATATATATATATATATATATATATATATATATATATAAATAGTAACCTAGAACGTAACTAATAAAACGTTTTTTATCAACCTATTTTTGTTCCACAAGCAATTAAGCCATGTTTTCTTTATTGACGACGCTACTCAACTGAACACAAACTGCCCCAGCGGGCACAGACGTGAATCAAACGTCTTACGGACGTCTTAACTAGGTCGCGACGTCTCAGACCAAATTAGGACGTCCTAAAGACGTCTGGTAAAGACGTCTTTGTTAGGACGTCCTTGTGACGTTAATATAAAGACGATATCAGGACTTCAATATTTAGACGTCCTATTGACGTCGCTAAGACCTACATAAGACGTCCTAATTACCTTAAAAATAAGAAAAAAATTAATACTATCAACTTGGCGCATACAATATTATGCGCAAACTCGGTTATTTAAATATGTCTACTTGTTTTGGTTGATTATTTTAAGACTATTATTTTGTTTAGTTATTTATCGTTTAAAGATATTTTTTAATTTTCTATATTCTATACTCTATTATCTATAAACTATAATCGATACAATATTTAAATAAAAGAGTAACTAAGTTACAAGTATAATAAAGGAATTTTAACAAAAAGACATCAAAATTGCACCAAGACTTTTCACTTTGTGTTTTATAGAATAGTATTGATATTTTGTGTGTCTGTGTTATATATAAATTAATATATACATATTAATTTATATATATATATATATATATATATATATATATATATATATACATATATATATATATATATATATATATATATATATATATATATATATATATATATATATATATATATATATATATATATATATATATATATATGCAAAGATTTGTAATATTATGGCTCTAGAAATAGGTAAATGGATAAATAAATTGTATATATTTTGTTGTTCCTGTGTTGTTTCATTCCATTTTATGATTTTTCCATCATGGGTTGTATAAATAATTATTAAGATTATTACGTATGTTGACACCTTGTTACTGTGTTGTTTCATTTAATTTGATGTATAATTATTTATATATACATGATTTATACATTATATTATAATGTTTATATGATGCATACATATTCATTTTATATATATATATATATATATATATATATATATATATATATATATATATATATATATTTATTTATTTATATATATATATATATATATATATATATATATATATATATATATATATATATATATATATATGTATATATATAATAATGAATATGCTTTTGTATGTGTGTGTATTGATAAATATCAACATTTATCACATATTATTACACACATATTATTGATAAATATCAACATTTATACACACACATGCACAAACTTACACACACACACACACACACACACAAACACACGCACACACACACACATACACATATATATATATCCATTTATATATATATATATATATATATATATGTATATATATATATAAATATATATATATATATAATATATATATATATATATATATATATATATATATATATATATATATATATATATATATATATATATATATATATATATATATATTTATCTTTATATTTACATTTATATTTACATTTACACTTTATATTTACATTTATCAATACACACACATGCACAAACTTACACACACATACACACACACACACACACATATATATATTATATATATATTATTATTTTATAAACATCAATAAATACGATTTTCTCTCAATACTAAATTTATTTTTTATTCTTTATTTTTTAAAAGAAATTTTCGCTGGATTGTTGTGACCAGCGTCTTCAGCTTAAAAGATTTTGTTTGTTTTTGTTTATATGTTATTTTTAAACGGCAATTTTATTATATGTCAATGGAATGGTTTCGTCTTTTTCTGACGTAAGTGCATTAGAAATGGTGTCCAGAATTTTGTTGACACATATTGTCCCTCATCTAAATTGATACCACTTTGTTGAGGGGCACATTGGTGGTACTGTATTTCAAGCGCTTCACGAACTTTCCTATCAAACTTTTTTATCAAACTTTTTGTTATTGACTTTTAGAGTTCTGCAACTGTCCCAGTTAATTTGTTGTGCACAATGTTTCATGTGTGTGGCTAATGCTGATCTTTCTGTTTTATTTCCTATTGTACTGTTTTTGTGTTGTTGCATGCGTGTTTTTATTTGCATTTTTATTTCACCAATATACTTTTTGTTACAATGGCACTTAATAAGGTAAACTCCTGGGTGGCTGTTCCTTTGTAGTTTGGATTTATTTCTTGATTTATTTCTTGAAAGTGCCAAGAATGTTTCTGTTTATTATTACCCTTATATGGTGCTTTTAGTAATGCTGCAGTTCTGAAACTTGGTACAAAAGATTTGATTCCAAAAGAGCTTAAAACCTGCTAAGCCCGAAAACTTTAGTTTTATATATTTAAAAATAACATATAAACAAAAACAAACAAAATCTTTTAAGCTGAAGACGCTGGTTACAACAATCCAGCGAAAATTTCTTTTAAAAAATAAAAAATCAAAAATAAATTTAGTATTGAGAGAAAATCGTATTTATTGATGTTTATAAAATAATAATTTATATACTCTCATACATATATATATGTATATATATATATATATATATATATATATATATATATATATA